TAAATGTAACTTAGCTAATGAAGAGCTTCTTTCTTGGGGTTTTAGTTAGATGTGGGTTTCTTTTTCTTTATCCCGTATATGTAGTCCCCTCCCTGTTTTTCTGTAGTAGTTTTGGTAGTTGTTAAAAAAAAAAATCCCCCTTTGGGGGCTTCAAAAAAAAAAAAAGGTATAGCACCGTATTATTGGAAGGTTTTATTGTGATTTTAAATGTTTTATTTATTATATACTGTATTGTATTTTGCACTCGGCTTTGCCGCATGTGAGCCGCCCTGAGCCTTTGGGAGGGTGGGATATAAATCAAACTAATAAATAAATAAATAAATATGTATGCATTTTGAAAATATATATACTGCCTCTCCAAAGACCTGCTCAAAGCAGCTCGCAAAGTAAAACCAAATGCAATAAAATAATAGTATATGAAATTACGAATATTAAAATATGCTGCAGGGCCATTCCAGTTGATTTTTGCTGTCAAACAGGTTCATGTGCATGGACTTCTACACACTGTGGTCCCAGACTGTTTAGGGCTTTATACGTAGTAACCAGCACCTTGAATTGTTCTTAGAACCAAATCAATAATCAGAAGCAAGTCAAGAACCGCATCTTTTAGAAAGTGAGGTATGTTCCCTATAAGTTATACCAGGAAGTAACTGTTCCTGCTGCAGTAGGCACGGATTGAAGTTTTTTCAAAGATAGGCCTACACGGAGCACATCATAGCAATCCCACTTGGATGCGATCAGAGCATAGGTAACTGAAAGATTATGCCTCCTAAGAAAGGGCTGCAGCTAATGCACCAGTTGAAGCTAATTGAAAGTGCTATGTGCCACAAAGAGACCTATGCCACCCCGTCGCCTCATCTATAGGCATGGGTCTGATAGCACTGTAAACTTCAAATCTATCCCGTCATGGAGAGTTCACTCTGTCCAAAACAAACTAACTGCTCCTTCGTTGGACTATACTACTGAACAGCAAATGCCTCAGTCTGATCTGGACTGAGCTTCAGTTTATTGATCCTCATCCATTTCAAAACTGTACTTATTTCCTCATTATTCAAAGTTGCACACCAGATAGTTGGCTTTTTTGTCCTGAATAGTTCCCAGCAGTATTAAATGGCATAGGATTATTTTCAATGAGATTATATTTATTCATTACTTTCTGAAAAAGTTTCCAATCATATCCTGTTGTTTATAAAATTATCAGATGTAAGTAGCTACATTTAATCTTTGCCTTGCTTGTTTGTGTGCCACCTGAACAAATTCCTTGAAAGTTATTAAAGAAAGCCTTGCGTGCCCTTGGGGAATCCCACTAACTAGCTGTGATCTGTTCAGGATTGTTCTCATCGATCATGCGAGACCTGGCCAATATTACACACGATGGCCCCAAATGGATTGTGCTGGATGGTGATATTGATCCGATGTGGATTGAGTCTCTCAATACTGTCATGGATGATAATAAGGTAAAATGCAGGCACAAAGACAGTGTATGTTCTTCCATATGTAAAGCACTCTGCTCTTTGTTAAAGTGTACAAACTAAGTATTGCTGCTGTACTCTGTTTTATTTTTTTAAATCTCTTGCTTGTATCTCTCTTTTTTATATATATATATTTACTCTGTCTTGAAGAAGGAAGTATTTTTAATTATTCTTATTGGTGATATCTGCTAACTGGAACAGCTGGGCAGCCGGGCAATCTGCCAAGCCTTGGGAAGGTTGTTGATTTTCTCAGCAGACGGAGATTGAGACTGTATTAATAAGCTATGTGGCGGAGTTAACTTGGAGCTTTTACTCGTGTGCTGGAAAACCTTTCAGATAATTTGCTGCTGTTTAGTTCTATTCAATATATTGTTTTAAGGGGAGTGCTGAAAAACTTTATATACTCCTTTTATCTGGTTGGAAAACATGTAACAAGAGATACAGAGTGAAGCTTGGGCATGGATGATGGAGGAAAGTGGCCAGACTAAGTGTGTCTCTCTCTGTTAGTCGCTTGAAATGGGGCAAAAGAAAAGAGCATACCCATTTGAAGGGGAGAATTTAATACCAACCCCTAAACAGACTAAGATGGAAGACTTTTATGTCCCAATTAAGCTTCAAAATAGATTCAGCTGCCTGGAAATGGATGAGGAGGTTTCTGATAGCTTGTTAAATCAAACTCCTCCCGAGGAAACTCATGCTTTAAGGGCTTCTAAGCTATCACCCATGCTAAATGTTACCTCAAAAACATCAGAAATTAGGCGCTCAGAAGAGATGGAGGTACTTGCGCACCAGGCAAATTTAACAGCAAAGTCCTTACAGATGATTTTTAAGCAACAAGAACAAATCCTAGCCTTAG